CGCGCGTGACAGTTACGGGAAGAGTGCCCGTACAATTGACAGTTATGGCACTGGCTAGGAGTGCCTTTTTTATGGGGGGCTTCGACAGCGATACCAGAGAGCCTACAGACGGTCTGTGTGTTAAAGATTTTCTTACCCTCGGGGGTAGGCTGGAGAGCGACTAGAACCATATTATATGGCTCCCTACCGCGACCGGTGTGCATACGGTGCACAGAATTCACTGGTAGGCCTTGTTCTAACAGGTCGGCTTTTACGAGCTCTACATCTAACTCTTTAGGGATTCCGCGTATTACAACGCGGAGTTCGCGCTCCTCCTGGAGCGTATACGTATGGAAACTTATACGCTCCTTACGGAGGTAAGAAGAGAGGGCCCTATGGTCGTCGGGTGTTTGAACCTTAATTTGAATGCCGTTCGCGAGGTTACGGGCATTCGTGAAATTAATATTTTTGGCCTTAAGGGCCAGGGAAACTCGTTCCCAGGCTGCCTTCTCTTGAAGGATTACCGGGGGAGGGGCTTGGATTTTCTTTTGTACTACCGGGCGCGGCGACGGTGTAGCACGGGCAGGGGGAGCAACGGGGGTCGGTGGACGGAGGCGCGACGCGTTCGCGGCTCTGCTTACTTTGGCGGCCGCGGGAGCTCGGGCTTCCGCAGCGCGCCTCTTACCTTTTTGGACTACTGTGAAAGGCTGAGTTCTCTGAGCTTCTCTGTGGATTGCGATTCTGATGCGGTGATAGATTCAGCGAAACATTACTCTTGTTATGCCTTATTAGCCAGTCCTCTCAGATTGAGCCTAGTGAGCTCACGATGAGCTTGGAAAGTGGAACAACCTTAAAAATATACTTTTACATTGACACAATTGTAACACATTGAAATCAATAGGAGAATATTTAAAATCACCTAAAGTCGTATATTCTATTTTTTTTCTTATATATTCACCGATCGTTGAATTAAAAGTTTTTTCAAATATCCCGTATTGTAATAACTGTTAATTGCTGTAAGGAAAACACCACTTAACCTACTTTACCCTGAAGTACGACAATAAACAAAACGGCCCTAATTTGGTATTTCATTTACTAGTAATAAAAGCGCTTTTTTTTGCTTTTCATTACGTAAACTGTCACGCTCGGAGCTTTTGACAGTCTACGGCGAAAGTCACCTAGACGACAACAAACAACTACCCTAAAATAAATGAAAAATAGTAGTTAGCGGTATTAACACATTCACTGGGTCAAGTGCTGAGGCTGTTGCAAGATATTGCTGTTGGTTTGACAAAACGTCTCCGGGAAAATATTCATCTGTGTACTTTTACGTTAGAATTTAGATAATACGCGAATTTAACGTGACCAAATATTATCTGTTAAAGCTTAATATCTTCAATATGAAGTAAACTATCACATAACGAATGATTATTACACGTACAAGAGATATTTAATAAAAATTTGGTGAAGGGCAAAATGTCTATTTAAGAAAGTTGGAACATGATGCAAGGTATTTTGGAGGCAATGTTGAAGTCACGTATATTAATTAGGATTTTTTTATGTCTATCAATAATGATAGACAGTTAGATGTAACTATATTTATTTCATTTTACTTGCATGATTTCAAGCCGAAATTCGGTGTTCTATTTTGAAAAGCACTTGATTTTTATTTCATGAAATCCGTCTTACTGTTACTATCGCCAAGTAATATCTGGAAACTAATACGATAAAACCGGGTGGTGTAACACTCTTGATGCTAGTATAAACCACAAACCACTCTCAAAGTGCGAACAACAACTGTAACTTAATCGGGAAACGCGGATAAAAACAAATAAAGCAATGTATGACTAAAATATGATTTATTCAGAGCCCATATTAGCATTCTTATACCTAATATCCCACGAGATGGTCGGACCAAATACGATCTTCTCTGAACATCAACTTCCACAATGCCCTTCATGAAGCTAAGGATGGCAGCAGATGGAGGGAAATCGCACAGGAGAAACTGATGCAGAGGGGGAGTCACGACCCTCAGTAATGAGGAAAACGACCCGAGGTTGAGGAGGATTCCTAATATGGCAACTTAATCCAGAAGCTGTTTCTTTCTTTACTCACTCCACAGATCTTTGTTGCACCGTATTTTCGGATTGAATGTTTTTTTTTTATCGTAACGGCTCAAGAATGCATTCGTATTTCCAGGTTGACCAGTGTGCTTAGTGCGAATTTCTTAACGTTCTCGATAGCGTAAAAGTTAACCTAATTGTGTATGCAATTGGAACAGCGCCCCTAGCGGCAAACGTACGCAAACGATTCCATTCCATACAAATAGGGGCTAACTTTTACGCTATCGAGAACGTTAAAAAACTCGCACTAAGCACACAGTAGTCTATTTGTACCACACACGTCGTCAGCGTTTCTGCCCGTTGCAGCAACGAAAGCGCTGAGTTTTCTTCTCACAGGTTGAAAATTCAAATGAGATGAAGTTAAAATCGGTGTGAAAGATAAATCGACGGTCCAAAGGCATCGGTATACGATACGGCGCGAGTAATTAGCAGCGATCATGGTCGGGAACGCGCCCCGTAATTACGCGCTCGGCTGGCAGATGGCGCGAGTTTTAATTTTTCGATTTCGGACCCGCGTACATTATGCATGACGCTTTTATCGCTCGCTGTGGTTCCTTCGGGACCTGCACGGAGACGGACTAGGTTAGAAGCGGGAGCGAGTAACGTTTTGTTAAATGATAAACGGATAAGGATTGATTTTTCGATTTAACCTCGTTTTTATTATTGTCATTATAATGATTTTTACCGACATTTCGAAATTTTTACAGTTTCGTACTCACGGACTATTTTTGTAAGAAAAAAAGACTATTCTATAAGTCTAGAAATAATTTTCGAAACTTCGGTAATACATAATAATATAACGACAAGAAGAATGCGAGATTAAATCGTAAAAGTGGTTTTTCTCGTGACGCTTCTGTTTTGATTCCGCTTATTGTCAATATACGATGAGCATACAGTCCAACTGATGGTAAGTGGTCACCGCCGTTCTTCGGCGTTAGAGTTGCTAAAGTTACGATTATCGAAAAAAATTCAGCACAATTCGATTATTTTTGAACAGAACCTAACCCTAAGAAAATCGTGATGCCAACTGTTCCGTTTCATGGAACTGACCCTTTTTTTTTTTTTTTTTTTTTTTGGTATCGATGGGGTATCCTAGTCTTTACGGATACCCTGCCGACGGGGGTCGGACCGGGTTATGTCGGACTCCGCGCCTCCGGTGGAAGAAAGAGGAAGAAGTCGCGAACCGAGGTCCGCGCCCTCAACCAATTGGTCCACGGAGACTACGCCTTTAGAAAGGCGCGCTGGGCTAAGTTCAGCTCTCGCCAAACCCGCCCAGCTTAACGACTACCGACTAAACCCCAACGAGCTCCTCCACTCCGGCTGGGCGGGGACCCAGGTACCGCCATGTGCGCGCCATAGGCCCGCCTTCGCCGGCTCCCACCCCAATGTTACGTTGGGCGGGATCTGCCACCGGGGACTTCTTCCCCCTCTCATCTCCACGACTCGTGAGGGGCGCACCGGAGCCACAGCGCACCACCACCCCACAGGACCTTAGTGCCGAGCACCGGGCGCCCCCGCACCCAGCAATCGACGGCCCCTGCAGGAGCCGGGTGGGGGCTTTCTGCCCGCACCACCCGCTCCGCCTTCACTGCCTACGAACCGAGGTCCACGACCTCCTCCTCACGACTTCCTCCTCGGTTCATCGGCATGCCCGGTTCTTCATAAAGCCCCGGTCTTCCTTGTGCCCGACGGAGGCTGGACGTCCATCGGAGTCGTCGTCTCGCCGAGTTGACTTCGGTCTGCAGCAACGGGTGCGGCCGCGGGTGCAGCGACGTCCTCTCTCCTCGGTTTTCTCGGGGGCCTTGCACAGGCCTTGCCCCCCGAAGTGTGGTCCGCTGGTTTCCCGGCGGAGGCGCAGACGGCGCATCGCGGTGCCAGTGTGCATCCGGATGCCACGTGGCCGGTCTGTCCGCACCGGTAGCAGTCGTGGCTGCGGTCGACCGACGACGGGCACCGCGCACCCACATGGCCCAACGCGTGGCAGCGGAAGCATTGTAGCCTCCGGGCCTCCAGCAGGTGGACGCGAACAACGCTCCACCCGATGCGCAGCTTCGTCACTGTAACAATCTTCTTCGCCGCTGCTATCGGGCAACGAACGAGAACCTGGCCCATTCTTCCGGATCCGGGCTTGATAGAGCCAGCCTTGACTGCATCGACGGAGCATTCGCCGATGCGCGCAAGCTCGGTGCATATCTCCTCCTCCGTCAGCGAATCCTCAAGTCAGCTTATGCGGATTGCAGCGGTCACCATCGGTCTTGTCACCGTTACTCTCTTGGAAGAGAGAACCTCCTTGAGCTTCTCGGCCAGCAAGTCGGCCTTCGCGATCTGGTCCTCGCCGCTCACTATGAGTATTTTGGCTCCGGTTATTGCTGACCGGACCTTCTCGATGGGGATCCCTAAGGCTCCGGCGTCGATGCTGGCCCTCGCCTCGGCGAGCACCTCCCGGTAGGAGAGCCCCTTTTCGATGGCCTCCGGGTGCAGCCTCAGAATAACGGCCTGCGAGCGCGGAGTTCGAAGTCTCTTCTTTCTACCTTTCTTCTTAGGCTTGAGCGGGGCAGGGTTTCTGTCTCGTTGGCCTTCCGCGTTGGTCGTCGGTGCTGGCTCCTTTTCCCTTCTCGGCCGTGCTCCTCTACGCGCAACGGTCGCCCAACTGACCGTAAGGGCAGCGGGGGCCGGAGGGAATGCGCGCGGCTCGGGTGGAGCTGGCGGCTCGGGTGGAGCTGACGGCGTCGTCTTCTTGTTATTGCCCTTCTGTTTCTTGGGCTTCACTTTCTTGTTGGTCTCAAGCTGGGGCAGAGCCGCATAAGGCGGCGTCGCCTCCGACACAAGACCTGCAGTGTCTGGATCGATTTCGCTCTCTCTGCTCCTCCTTCTTGCGTCAGCGGCCAAAGGTGGTCGCAAGCGAGGCTCTGGGAGTAGACGGGCCTCCAGACCCTCGAGTCGGGCGTCCAGCATGGACCCGACTGCTCGCATGATTATCTGCAGGTGTCGCTCGTCGTCTTCGTTTGGCAGTGTTGGGGCGGGAGTGAGCTGCGCTGTCGTCTGAGCGAGGCGCACCATTTTCGCTCTTACGTCCTCTACTTCCTTCCTGAGCTGCAGGATCTCCGCCTCCTGTCTCTCGCTGAGTGCCTGCAGCCTCAGGGTTTCCTCGTTGGAGGATCTGGAAGCTAGATCTTCCTTGGCCTCCTTTATTGTTGTGGCCATCTCCTTAAGGGCTTTGATGTACGTCCCCTTCGGGTTGCGCGCTTTCGCCGCGATGGTAAGGGCCATCTGGGCGGTCTCCTGGAGCCTAGTCGCGGGATCTGCTGTTATGTTCCCGGATATTAAATGTACTGCGCGCCTCTTCTCACGTAGGTTGTGCACGATTTCCACTACCTCCTGTTCAGCGCGAAGCTCCAGCTCTTCACGTTGAGCTTTTAAGTATGCCTGCTTCGCCGCCGCCAATCCCACGTATTGGCCGGTCGTTGGAGGACGACCTCGGCCTCTCTTCGATGGTCTGGTCCTGGACACCAACGATCCTGACCTAGACGCCTCCGATTCGGTACTGCTGTCGGAGCTTGCGTTCTTCGAGCCTTTTGCCCTTTTGCGCGTCGTTCTCTTTGGTGATGAACAGCAGGAGCTGACCACCATGCTGTCCTCCGAGCAAACGCTGCTTTCTCTCCTGCGGTCTTCGTTTTGCACCGTTTCTCTTTCGTCCCTTGTGGACCTCTTCCTTTTCTCCCCGTCCTTCTCGGACTCTTTCCCGGAACAGCTTGTGCCCCCCCCAGAATACGAGGGGCAGCGTGCGGCCGATTTCTCGACCGCACGGAGGGATTCTCCTCCCGCAGAGCAAGAGGTACCCTCCTGGGGTAATAACTTTTTCAGGCTGGACATGCTCATGCTTTTTTATTTTTATTTACCTAGGGTGCGGTCCCCTAGGACGCCCTCGAGACTGGTCTCCCACCAGCCATTCGTCCCGTTGCCGGGCGTCAAAACTTGGGATTGGGTGAGAATAAAGAAAGAAAGAAGTGGAAAATATAACAAAATCTAACATAAAAATGTAACCAACAGTACAAGAGTGAAGATAGTAAACAAACAAAACACAAAGAACAAAATAATAACGAAGATAAGGACAGACAAACTCAACATAAATTAAATCAAAAATATAAAGAAAACAAAAAGACAGTAAAAACAAACTCAAAATAATAAGGAAGAAGTCGGGGGCCCGGGCATCCCCGGAAGAAACACCCTTCAACTAGGTGAAGGGCGCAGAGAGCCCAGAACCCCCCCTGCTGGTTTTGGTCCACGTCGCTCAATCTCTCCCGCCATAACACAACGAGAGAGAAGGAGCGATACCCCTGGGAGTATGACTGCTCCCAGAGGCCCGTTATCCGCCACCTACGGACGCGCCCGGTGGAAGTCCAGCAAAACTCCCCCACAGACGGAACCCACGGCACGCAGAGTGCGCATCGGGGGCCCGCCCAGGTCCCGGGATGGAACTGACCCTAGTGCTAGCTTAAACAAAACACTAATGTTGGTATAATTGAAGGCATATTTAGAAAAGAAAAAAACTTTTCATTAGGTACACTTATCTATAATTGATTTTGAAATACCTGCCAGATTTGATGATACAATTTTATAATACAATGTAGCAAAAAAAATCATTCGCTTCTATCTTCATCGCATGCGTGATAATTTTACATAGAAATGGATAGAATTTTGAACAACGAAGATAAAACTACTTTAAACCTTACCCTTTAAAAAAAACACTAACACTCGTAATAAGCTCATGAATAATATGAGTTATTATCTGCCGTTTGCATCAGAGCGCCACGAGTATTTAATTGCTCATAAAAAGTCGCGCAGAAACTTGTTTAGTGAACCGAAAGTTGACCTCTACTGTACCATTTTGTTTTGAGAATTTCTCAGCAGCTTGACCCTTAGACTACGGCTTTTATTTTTTTAGTAAGCGAACTAACTAAAGTTTAGATTAAACTCTCAGAATGTACCGTTTGTTTCGTTTTTAAAAAACTAATGTTTTAATGATTAAATTGCACTGGTGGCTATTTCGCCATAATGCGAAAAAGTTGGTATCCATTCTGCGTAGAGTAGGAGGATGAATCTTCTTGAGGGTAATAGCAGAAAGGCTGGATGGACCGACCTTGGGCAACATGTAGAACATGCAACTTGATGAAGTTGCTAGGGACGGATTTGATTTATTTGATTTAATTTTTTTTTTATTATATTAATAAGTTATTTGTTAAATCAACGCACTGTGAGTCTATGATGTTTCGAAAATAAAAGATTCTATTTATTTACTTTTTTATATAAAAATATTCTCTTTTAACTTAGATCGCACAACAGTCGCGTACCCTTTTTAGGGCCCGCGTATAGCTACGGAACCACGGTCGGTCGACAATGCGCTCATCTTTGCCAGAGAATGCATTAAACTCCGAATCACAGGCGCAATCATTCGGACAACTCTCCATAGAGATACCCGCTGAACCCATTAAGGGATAAACGCAGTTGCTTTTGTGATGCGTATTCATTACATATTTTTTTTATTCATACACGTAAAATTATCATTTTAATAATAATGGATGATAGGGGACGTATCGAGCGCTGTGTTGATTTAATAAATGTGTACTCTAATGGTAGGTGGTAGGACCTCTTGTGAGTCCGCACGGGTAGGTACCACCACCCCGTCTATTTCTGCCGTGAAGCTGTATTGCGTTTCTGTTTGAAGGGGGGGGGCAGCCGTTGTAGCTATACTTAAACTCATATCTCAAGGTGGATTACTCTAAATTTACGTTGTAGACGTCTATGGGCTCCAGTAATCACTTAACACCACACCCAACTAAGTCATAAAAACCAAACAAACTACTTACATCTAAAAGGCAAAACAATCAGAAGAAAACCAAATAAGTCTTCGTCGTTTGCTCATTAAAAATTTGGGAATCGAAGCCACGATCCTAGGTCAAGTAGTCAGTGGCGTTAACATCTCTGCCGGGATAGTCTGGCATATAACATAATATTGAGACCTCAAACTCATGTCTTGAGGCACGTGGTAGAGATAACGCTGTGTAATGATGCACTGTTAGCTTATTTCCACTTTACGAAATAATCAAGTAATCTTTGACACAATTTGGAAACAACAAAGTTTATAAAGATTATTTGTATATAGCTGTCTGTTAGGATCTGGTGTCGATATGCAATCGGTACTTCAACTTTAATCTCGATGTCTTTAATGTCGAGGTGATGTCACACATTTTAAGGTTATTTTTTTAGGATTGAAGGATTATTGGTGGCTCGGAAATTGCCCGGAGGCCTTTCCAGTTTCAGGACAGATGGGCGAGCAAAAGCTCAGCCAGAAGGGGTGGAATTTGCTAACAACCGCCCGAGCGCCTCCGAAGGAGACCTAACTACTCAAGAGCAGCTGCTTCGCGAAAATTCTAAGGTTCTCGGCGTACGTTAAACACTATATAAACAAAAATGTGATAAATGGCTTATGGACACCCACTTGGAACGAAGCTCCTTTTTCCGTATCCTTTTTTTGTGTTTGTCTTAAGTAATCATTAAATAAAAGATAAAGAGTAAATATGTATAAACTAATTAAGCGAATCATAAAATATGAATGAATACGTATATAACAAATATATGTAATTTTTCAATGTCTTATTATACTAGCCGTACTCGCCCGCTTTGCTGGGCATTTAAAATTAACATTATTATTTATTGTCATGATCATTAAGGTAGTCCAACACTCATATAAATATATTAGCCTATCCATTAAGTACATATATTTTCTACATGGATACCAAGTTTCAAGTCAATCGGATGCATAGTTAAGTAGTTATAACGGAACATCCGTAAAAACCACTGTAGATTTATGTATTAGTATAAATAAAATGATGCAATTATTGCATACTAGAGGTCCCGCAGTAGTCCAAATTCGACTATAATTAATTGGAATTGTAAGCTTGAGCACTATTATCATTGTATTTTATGAAATTTGTGATTATAGAAGTCTATAATCACAAATTTCGCCAAGACTACACTTTAAAAAATATTAACAATTTTGACAACAGACGTCAAGAACAAAAGTTTGACAATAAATAGTATGCATGCGTGTGTGCGTCAAATACATGGTATGTAGTGTGTGTTATGTTTTCTTTATTGATTTAATGTATCTTTTATGCATTATTTAAAAAAAATATTAACATTGTGCACTTCTTCTCTATATTCTCTATAGGAGTGGAAAATTTCATACTCCTCCATCCGCGCTATTTTCGTAAAAAGGGATACACAGTTTTTGCTTCACGTATTAATATATAGATTCTCAAATTTGACGACAAGCTGGATCTATAGTAAAAAGTTCCAGTTTGGTTTCGGAAATGTCTGAAAAATCATTTCAATAATCCTCATATTATTATGTCGATTTATGGTGTCGTTTTTCATTGTTACACTACTTTGTTCAGTCTTGGCTTCTTGACCCGCAAACAAAACTTGCGATAAGGAACATCGTTACGAAAATAAGTGACCCTGTTAGTCTTTCGTGGAACACAGATTGTCTACGCGAGACACTGTGGCTTTATTGCTTCTATAATAAAACCAATTGAATTCTTGCTCCTCCTTGCGTCGGTTTCCTCATTACTGAGGGTCGTGGTCATGGCCTTGAAACAGTTTAAATGTTTCTCTGTCCATGACTCTCTTGGGATGTAATTGTGGTGGGTTCCCACGTCCTTCCACATCAGTATTTCGAAGGGATTTAGTCCTTCACGGCAAACTGGTCCCGCTCCGGGTCTCTGGTTGGATCCGGGGGCTGGGTTATTTCCCGCCGCCCAGTGCTCGGCGTTGACGTTTTACGGTAGGAATGTCCAGCTCTACTCAACCCTCCTCCTTTCTCATCCGGGCTTGGGACCGGCAATGGCAGAGTTTATATAATTATATTTATAGAATTCTTGCTACTTGATTTAATTACAATTTACAATGCTTTTGTTTTGATTGCACGTCGATGAATGTAATGAATGTGACCTTTCTCGAAAAGGAAGGATCTTGTGCCAATAATGATTATTGTGAGATATCTTAAGAATGTTGCTGAATGCTGTCAGCGCGCGGTGCCAGTAGTAGTAAATGTTCTGGTACGACGTTTTGGCTAGCTTGCTGTGCTAAACGAGTCAGACGCCGCGACATATATATTGACTTGAATTCGCGTCCCAAATTACTTCCCTCCTCTGAAACGAAAAAATGAAACAATTGTTTATTTTACAAAAATGTAGTGTATTTAAATCATGAAACACGGCGCTCGTGTCCTCGAACATCAAATTACTCACAGTTAATCTTATTAACAACAACAGACCGTGTTGATTTTCAGAAAAATACCAAATAAGTTTGACATCTTTTCAACTGGATAAGTTCACAGCTAATCTCGCTTATAAACGAGAGACAGGCCTTCGTGAAATTCGTCAAACGTGGAATTCAAATGAAAAGTGCTAAAAGAATTTAACAAAAACATTTTACAGAAATAAAATACGGAACGGTATAGTAAATGTTCCGAGCGCCAGGAAGACAATAGGCGGGCGTGGAGGCGGATTGCTGCTTCCGCCGGATGTGGTTCGGCCCCCGCCGCCCGCCGCCGGAAGGTACCGACTATATACAACATCAACAAAAAAGAAAAACTTGAAAAAATACTAATAAAAGTTAAAAAATATATTTACTCAATTCCTTGCTTCAAATAGCGAGTTTGACAACAATAACAATTTCATAATCCAACAACTACAAGCTTTTCTGAATATTTAATATTAGATTCATTGGTCTCTAGATGAAAAATGATGTAGACTATTATAATAGGTACAAAAAAAACTTCCATATGATGGAACCACACCTCTTATTAC